ATACAGCAAATGAAAGCATAAAATTAAACATTGTGCCAAATTTATTCCACACATATTTTATTCTATATACATTTTACTTTATGAAATCCATTATATAATCTTAATTACCTTTATTATTCACTTTCATTTACTTCACAGGGCCTTGAAGAAGCTGATCAATATACAACAGAACCAGTCTGAGAAAACATGCTTACCTTTAAAAAAGACAAAATTTCCATCACTGTTTTCATAAACTGCATCAATACTGGGAGGCAAGCCCCGCCAGAAGTAAGTAATTTGCATGGGGTATCCATCCATCACCCTATTGTTTCTCACTCGCCAAAACCACTGGTCCTGCAAATCAAGAAGAGCAATGCTCAGCATTTCTTCAGGCCTGGCAGCACAGGAGGAACAATTGTGCATTGTGCAGTTTTAAAAGCTAATTTAGTATTATTTTCTTTCATCATCACAACCTGAGGGAGAGTTAGTAATTCAGAGGAAACAAGCAAGGAAATCCTTCCATCTCTAAACCATACTGTGTGAATAAATATGGTATCACGATACTCTGGTGTTTTCATTTGCTGTTATCTGAGGACTTTCTAGATGGAAAATGAGAAGCACAGACAACATGCTTCCTGTGGGTGGGAAGTGGGTATTGATCACACCTATGGCATGTGCATTGTGTGTGCATAGTTGCAATTTTACCCACACACAGGATCTCCATGCTCCAGATGCTGAGTTTTGAAGAGAAGTGTCATATCTCTCTGAACGCCCATATTACAGCTTCCATCTGTGTGGTGTATGATCATCTAATGTGTCTCAGATTGGTCAGTAATGGTAACTCTACATGAGCAAATGTATTTTGAAAATAATCACCAGAGAAGATTCCACTTAGGCTCATTTTCTCTTCTACCTGATCTTGCAAACTGATTTACTTGCCTCAGTGTTTAAACAGGTCTTGTATCTATTCTTAGTCTAGTGAATAAAAAGAGATTTTGCTTGCCATAGTTGTTTATAAAATTGAGGAGTTATTAATTAGACTGAACATAATGTATTTTCATGTAAATGCATACTTCTGGACAGAAAAAGCAAAATGTAACAAAAATCTATGAAAAGTGACACAGTTGGCTATAATTTTCCAATTGAACATTTCAGAAAAAAAGATTATTCAAAGTGTTCTGACACTAGAAAACATGGGTATAATTTTCAAAAACATTTACAATTCAAGAACATTTAACTTAAAGTTTCACTACATTTTATATCCCCACATATTTAGTAGAAACTACTTCACTTGAAATCAAATATGTTTGCTATACAGATAAGTACATTTCACAAGTTAACTTTTATTTCACTTTTCTGCCTTTCTCCCAACTCCAGCATCTGTGAATCACTTGGTTGAATGTTTGCCAAAGGTCTGGATAAAAACAGGCGTGGGGAAAGGGTTCCCTATGCTTCCTAGCATTGATTCAGGTGTTGACTAGGTGTCCACTGGGGCTTATTTGATGCCATACAACATGATGATATGACAGCTGACTCACTGCAACTTTTTCTTGTTCTAGCTATTGTGGACTTTCTCTGAACATCAATTATTTAGAAGAAAATAGTAACATCATTTCTGACTCTGAATTCACATCCTATTCTTTTCCTGCCTCTTAATAAGCCTGTCGTCTTGGTTAAGACACTAGTCCTTAAATTAATTACCAACTAGTATCTAAATGTTAGTGTTATTAGTTTATTAAATACACAGGGATAACTGAGGCAAGGGTACAAGCCCACTCTCATATTATGGTTGAAATTATTATTTCCACCAAATCAAACTTTCTTTCATGAAGAGAAAAGGGAGGCTTTTCAGACTGAAGAAGTTGTGAACCTCTGCCAAAGTTACACAACCATATACACTTTCTGAGACAGGGGAAAATCTCCAGTGGAGCTGACTGGAAATTGGGAGGGAGCTCTAAGGAAATAGTTTCTGTAAGATATCACCCACACTTTGATGATACACCTGTCTTTGAGTCACTTATTCACTAAAAATCTGGAAAAAATAGACAATAAACAGACCATGAAAAGACACAATATTGTAAATACTTATAATGAATAAATAACCATTCTAATCAGTAAATAGAGGTTTCTAATTTAAAATTGTTCTAATTACAATTATAAAAATAAAAATAGACTCAGTTTTGAGAATGAGAACTTATGAAAAATATATTTTTACTTTGTCTTTTTTATTAAAAGATTTTATTTATTTTTATTATGTATACAATAGTCTGCTTCCATGTATATCTGCACACCAGAAGAGGGCACCAGCTCTCTTAACGATAGTTGTAAGCCATCATGTGATTGCTGGGAATTGAACTCAGGACCTCTCGAAGTGTAGTCAGTGCTCTTAACCTCTGAGCCATCACTCCAGCCCTTAATTAATTTAAGTCTTAATTGAATTTTATAGCACTGAAAAATAAAGGGTTATTATTATTATTATTATTATTATTATTATTATGTGTTTCAAGAACGGGTTTCTCTGTTTCTCTGTGTATCCTTGGTTGCCTGAAACTCACTCTGTAGACCAGGCTGGCCTTGAACTCACAGAGATCCACCTGCCTCTGCCTCCCAAGTACTGGGACTAAAGGCACACTCCACCACTTTTCTATTTATTTCATTTTCTAATAAAGCTGAGTACCAGCTACAGGAACAAAAAAGATAAGAAGTTTATCAAACCTGCATTAATTTGATGTTGAAATTGGGTGCAATTAATAATGTCACTGCCAACATCTTTGTTTTTAGAAGAGGCAAATATGCATGTTGAGAATCTCTACCTTGAACACACTCACCCATTGCAAACCCCACCCAGATGTTTAGCTGGGAACTCTGATTCAGCCTTAACCCCTCTCTTTCCAGACTCCACCTTCATAAAGCCTATCAAGAGTTGGTTCCTCCACTAGAGATGGTCAGGTATTTAAGACCTTCTCCCATTTCCAAGAGTCTCCAGGGAGTGCTTTGTTCAGGTTTGCTCTGTTTATTAAACTTGTTCTTATTAATTCAGCTATTGCATCAGTGTAGAAACCCACATCTGGCATTTTCAAAATACTTACCCATATGTGCATATATTTGTGGGGTGGGAGGAGTTTGTGACAGACTCATTACTGAAATTTATTATATACACCAAGATGACCTCAAAGATTTCCTACCTTTGTTTAAGACAAATATATCTGATACCATATAATTTAATTAGTACATGATCCATTTGATCATAACAAACACAGGCTAGAAACATAAACTCACACAAGTAAAAGCACTAGACTTCGCATTAAATTGTAGCTTTTAGGTTACTTCCTGTGAAGAAGGCAACAGGGAATCACAGTGCTTAAGGAAAGAGAAGGAACCTTGCATAGTTAGTTAGATATATTATTGTGCAGTGTTGGGAAAGGAAAATTAAGATGATAATTTGGGTAAGAAAAAGAAAACTGTAAGGGAAGCATAATTATATGTGCATTGCAAAAGCAATGCCCTTCTGGGAAGTTTGCACTATTATGTCCTGGTAGCTTTCCTAAGCTGTTTTTGGTACATAAATATTAGGGGATAGTCTAATGTTTAGATCAACCATTAGAACAGTCTTCTGACTAAGACAGTCATGAATGTGTGCAATGAATTGTTATTAAGAATTTCACAGCTCATCAGAGCAACATCAACCAGAGGAAATTCT